CTCAAACGGGAGCTCTACAGGAGACACAGACCAATTTCCAACTAAGAGAGGTAAGCAATGTGCCATGGAGCAAACGAAAAATTGCGCTATTCAACGAGCTACGCCCGTCGAGTACCAATGGCCACTGCAGATGTGTTTTGATCCCACCGTCATCCACGGCCGTTTGGTGAGGTGCAGAGCAGCAGGTGCCGTATTTCCGGCTTGGTCACTGTCTGTGAATACATAAGTGCGCATAAAGGAAGTAGTAAGCGACACCTTGTAGTACACCATATCCATGCGCCGCCGAATTCGAGAAATGAAGTCGGGCATACCAAGGCTGCCATGTAAACGCTCAGCCACGGATGGCTCGGATGCGCTGCGTGGCTAAGTGTGAGTGGCTTTGATCAGAGTGGCGTGACCTCAACGTGCATCATGAGTGGGCCTTGTGCGTTGGTTACCATTCCTGTGATACCCAATTGTGTCATATGTGGCTGACAAAGTGGAACGTGAGGGGGGGAAATGCTGCAGGGTCGTTTCTGTGTGTAGTTTGGAGAATGCGTACGGTTGGTTCGATTGGAACAAGACTGTTATTAGTATCGTGAGAAATTGTGGGATGGAGAGTTGTATGTACCAGTAGGTAATATGGGTCTATAGAGGTATCTAGTAGAGTAGGTTACCAGTTGACTGTCTAGCTAAGCTAAACAATTCTAGTTAGTATCAGACAGTGGGGCAATCCCCTCCCCTCCACCCCCTTCCACCTCCACACCAGAGATCTCACCTTGCCAACATCAACAATTGTACAAACGGTCTGCTAACCTACAATTACGAGCAGGGTATCTCTGTAATACAAGTGGAATTCAGATTCTTCTCATGAAAAGGTTGCAGTTGTGTGAACGCACTGGCGTCCACACAAGACTAACATGGTTCCTGGCACTCTTGCAGAGGTACTGGGAATACAGTCTGATTACTTGAACGATCCACCCACCTATGACCGTACGACACTGAAAACCAGATCTACCTCACGATGCATAAATTTTCGTAGTGCCAAATTGCGGTTAATCAATTCGTGCTGTTATTCGATGACTCTTTCCCGTCATCGCGAGTTTGTTGCCAGCCCCCACCAAGCGAGTATTGACAGTAATTCAACATCCTTGCAGTCATGCAAAGTCTCACTTATTGTCATCGTATGCAGTTGCACGTCAAGCTCGAGAGAAGGGTGCCTGGCTGGAGATATATATGGTCTACAACCCGAAAGACTGAGCAGATATTCGCTGAAGTGAAACGATTACATCAGAGTTTCAGAAGGTGACACTCCTCTGAGTAGATTCCTCGTTTGATACCGGTAATGCTAACGTGACACGAAGGTTGGCAAGGCTATCTCTAAGGCACCTGTTTAGGCCTTCACCGGAATCCATAACACCACCTAACTGAAGTTACTTAAGAACAGGGCGCAGTCAGGTTCTGTGATCGATTCATCGATAATTGTGAGAATGTACAATGCCACCAGGGCCTACAGGATACCGAAAAACACTTTGAAGGAGCCCGACTACGGTATTCGCACAACTGGCTGCTTAGCCGTCTCTCAATACTCTCGTTATTGTACTTCATTCATAACAGAACACTAGTACCATTATCCACACTCTAAAAAAACCGTGAGTAAGAAGTGCTCTAAAACAGTTGCTATCAATGTGCCCTCCTACGCATTGCTCCCTGGAACTTATTTCTACATCTGACACATGTAAAAACACTGAGCACGGCCAGGGGATACACGCGGTGTTCAAACACTTGATAAAGACTATGCAACCAGTTCAAGCGCTTCCTCTTCTTAATTCCTCGATATCCTCGTCCTCGTCCCTTTTCTCTAGTTTTACTGTATTCTCTTCGCCATTCGATGCTTTTCTTTTTCATTCCTGATGTCTGCAGCCTGTGGTAATCTCAAAACAGGATGTTTTCGATCAGTGATATCAAGCACAGCTAGAACACTGCTCTCTCTCGTCCGTGGATAATCATCACAGGCGCCTTCCCAATCTCCTACACCGATCGCCTCGTGTGCGAGCCGCTGAAGCTGTAGCGTAGCATTCGTGACCCACTCTATGCTAGAAAATGCATTCTTGTTCCGCTGCATACGTTCAGTGGTCCAAGGTAGGATGGCGGAGATGAGCATGATTAGGCCTCCAATGGAAAGGATCAAAATGAGTCCAAGGACATTGAATGAAGTGTAGGAATCGCTTCGAATTTTCTAGTTGCCACAAACAGTACGCTCTTCAGCGAAAGAAGGCGGAGCGTGAAATTCGCCGGCTTCTGGAATGACTGGCTCAGTTGCAAGGTCAAGCATTGCTCGTTGTAAGTCGGCTAACGTGAGTCTGAACCAATGTTCAAGCTCAAGCTCCCATTGATTGCTGGGTAAAGCGTATTGCCCCACCGCTGAAAGAGAGTCACTTGCTCTTAGGGCTCCGCCCTTTAATGTCAGAATAGTTTCGTTAACACCACTCGACCTCCAGAGAATTGAGGTCCCCGACCATAAGAATGCTCTCCTATGGCTTGGTTGCGGGAATATCGTTGAAGATGCAGTCTCGATGGCCTCGTATATCCCTAGCAGGGGCGTACATCTTTCTTTCTGTGTAAGAAGAGGGCTGCAGATTTGACGCAGGCTAAGGCACGTGCTGGCTGATCGCTGGAGTAAAGTGACATCTTTCCAACGACAGTACTAGCGTTGAAAGGCCCATGCTCCGCATTAAACCACGGATCTTTTACAGGTGCGTAAAATTTCATACCATCCATCTTGAGAAAAATAACGCTGACATCTGCGTTCGAAACCGAGAGTTCAGGGATCGGTTCCCACGTGATTCTTGCAGTGGTGTTTAAGGGTGCGTCCCAATGTGTAATCACCCTAGTGAATAAAGTCAGCTTCGAGAAGTTTTGGGTCATCAGAAGATTTTACTTAAGGTTGTACTCGAAAATTTCGTCGAAGCTGTCTTCATAGCTTTTGTTAACATCTTTGGCCTCTCCGAAATTGAGTTCCCAAGTGCACCCATCTCTATCGGTCTTACAGGTTTTGGGATTGCTTCCGTAGCGGAATTGTAAGGTTTTTGGTGATGTAGATGAGTTCAAGTACGTAAATCCTTCGCTACGCAATGGTACACATTCGTTAACTGCTCGGTAGAGAAACCTCGCGGATGGCGGAGAATTAATGCCTAGATCGAAGTGGCTGTTGAGAAGACCGGAGTCAAGACGGATGGCTCCTTCGGAAGAGTGACATATCCGGTCCTTCCCTGGGAAAGGACAGGGAGTTTTACGTGTAATCTTGAAAGGAAGGGTATCTCGAATAAAAGTGCGGCAGGCTCCTGGGGACCTCGAACCAGTATAGCAGCTCGATGCATAGTTAGCGCTCGATCTAATCCTATTGGCCAAGTATGCCTGGCCTAGGCCAAAGTTCTGATATGTTATTAGAGAATTGTTGTAGATAGCGCACTTGCTGCCGGCGATGAGGACCTCGCCGCCCCTCGAAGTAGCAACTCTCGATGAAAACACGCCAGCGATGGCGAAAGCGCTGAAAGTAACTAGACTCAAAGCTAACGGCAGTAATGTACGCTTAAACGAAGCGACAGAGTTATGCCTACGCCAGGCCCATGTCATCCTCGAGAGTCTCCAGAACGCCGCAGCACTGGTACCAGAATTGCGAAGTATTGCTTGTTGCTGGTGGTATATCGCGCGCTGGGGAGCCTGCTGGCTCAACATTTGGTGGATGGCAAATGAGACGATTGTCCAACAGCAGGTACCGGCGAAAGTAACGAAGAGTGCGAGGAAAGTGACGAGTAGGCCTCCATTCTGGAGTGTTGTGGTAAAGGTCAAACCGGAAATGGGGCCAAGAGACTACCGGTAATTTGTCTAGATCCCAAGGTAGACGGAGCTTTCCTGAGAAGCGATTTGACTGAAATTTGATTTCATGGTGATGTTTGGATTCCAGAATCCGTCTCGTAGTTAAATACTGCGAAATAGTGTTGTCACCCATTTGAGCAAACACATATTGATTTTATTTGGGGGCCAGCCTTGCATTGGTTACACCATGTGTGCTCAGCTAGCGGGCATCTCAACAACGTCATATTTAGGGGCTATGTCGACGCACAAGTAGACCTATCAACGTTCTTTATTTTAATTGGCTGTTTAAATACATGTTGAAAGGCTGCACTGCTGCAGCTGGGGTATAGTGTTTACGAGGGTTACGGTATTTTTAGCAAACAGAGGACTGGACAGAAACCCCGCACATCTACGTGGATGAGTTTGCCACCAAGCAATTGAGACACTTTGAAGAGCGACATGAGATACAATGAAACAACTCCTTAACCGTACAGCTGAGAATCTACCATGGTTACTGAAGAACCTCTATAGTCAAGAGGGCACGGATCAAGACTTTACCTTGATCGGTACTCTCGATAGCAGCTTTCCCTTCCAGCCTTATGTCGCCACAGCCCAAGGCTCTGTGTCTTATCTACACGGCGACCGGGGCGGAGTATTGGGCTAGAAGTGAGGGACGACGACCTCTAAAATGGGCGATGCTAAGCTCATTATTCAATTATCGCCACCACTGTCGCTACCAAACCAAAGCTACATACATTTCTATTGACACTCATCGTGATGGATAGAAGTCAGGATGGGTGCTCACATTTTCAGTCACCTCCTTATAATGAGCTGATGTAGGAGCATTTACATGTGGTTTACATATAATCTTGGCTCTATCTGACCTATAATGCATCCCCCGTGTCATCTTAACTGACGAAGGCAGAACTTCATCATAATTGGGCAACGAAACGTTTGGGTGAACTGATGTGGTGGTAGTCCTAGACAAGCCCAAAGCATTGCTTAGTTAGTCAGCCATCTTCCAGATCAAATCAGCCTGAAAGATTCATTGGAGGAAAAGTGCATAGGACCATCTAGTCCCAATTCTTTCCAGTTGTTGTGTCAGCGTGTTCCTTCAGAACCGTTATCGCATCTACCGTGGCTTAATGTTATCGAGTTTTCTAGCCATCATAGACCGTATTAAGCGCGTCTGCGCATTGTGATCGGACTATATCGCTTTCACGCTTCGAAAGGGCCAACTAAGAAGGTATATGGATACTTGCTGCCAAGCTCCAATCCGGTAATTGGCCCGGCATTCTTCATGGATTCATCAGATTCATATACGATCAGTCGCTGTATGGGCCGTTATGATAATTTCATTACGCGGTTTACATGGATGCAAGACATTGATGACGAAATGATCAAACTTGAACAGGGGTTCATGATAGCCAGAAGCCGACCTCATATGTACGCACTCATGAATTTTATATTCTTGCAGTGGCGAATAAATCGCCTCTTGTCCGTGTACCGGTACATAACTTCATTCCGATCAACCAGAAATTCACAGATCATCTGACGGAAGCCTGCCTGAAGTTTCGATTACATGAGCTTGAACCTTACTCTGTACTTTTCACACCTGATATGCAGCAATCTACGGTCGGAAGCTACCGACGACCTCTTCGACAACTACCTGACTACAAGGTTCAGTCTGGTGCCAAGGTAGACGAGCAACTAAACGCTGTCGCGACTGAAAACCTCGCGTCTTTGAAAAGGATAGTTACACTTCGTCGAAAACGACATGGAAATGGCAAATTCATTCAAAGCGCCTGTCCAATTAAGACCTCGCCAAGTTCAATTTATCACTAAAGACCTAAGAAAATTCTCGTTAATCCATTTGGGCGGTTAAAGTCTCGACGCATGACTACCGATTAGCGCGTCCAAGAGCGTTGGCCAGATGTATAAGCCAGCAAGTTATCGCGTCACCAAGATGTCCGCTTCAATTCAGGGACTGGAACTCACAATTAATCAGGACTACAAGAATTTTTTTGAGCAGATAGATTCGATCAGTGAACAGCTAGAGGCCGTAACAGAGTAGACAACAAGACAGCGCAAACAAGAACTGTCCGGGGATGAGGAAGATAGCAAGGAAGATTAGTGCCGGTGAAATCTTGCAAGGGACTCTTAATCGCAGGAACTGATTGTTTAGACTGCCAAATGGTGTATAGCGGGAGTCTGGTAGGGCTTTATACCTGTTCCGAGCGAACTTTAAGGCAATATTTTACAAACCCCGATGTACTATGATAGTTGTGACTTCCATTTTGTTCATTAGTATATATCGACGATATTATTAGCACATAAGGCGAGTTAATATCCTGTCGGTCTCTTACTACTTTGCCTAGGTACACATTTGGTTCGATGATGACAACTTAGCAACCTGACATTGCAATACACGACGAATGAAGCTACTATCCAAACCTAGCAATATCAAGTTACTCTGACTTCTTGTTATTTAGTGTGCAAAGGTACCTACAGATTCTGACTTCGTGATACTAGCCATTTTCGAGCCTTTGTTGATTTGTTGATACAACTGAGAGCGTTTGCTCACAGCAACACCATCAACAAAGCCGCCAGTGGTCGCCAAAACCTCCCCACCCACAACATCAACCAGATCAAGGAATCAGATCCGGGGACCCAAAATTCAACAGCCGTATATGCGCACAGAGGCCATGGTGACTGCGGCAGACAGTCTTGCACAGCTTCGCGCAGCTTTGGGCAACAATGGGGCATGTCTCGAGCATGCGCGGCTGCAGCAAGTTGAGACACAACCACTGGATGACCCCGACGGTCTCTCTTTTGCGATTCTCTTGGGCTATACAGAGGAAGGATGCGACGGCTCGCAACGCAAAGTTTTGATACACCTTTATCCCTTACCTGGGATTAACGGTCGGGCAGAAATACAGTTCCATTCTCATGCGACCAGAGGGAACGAACACGCTAGATACGATGGTTCATACATCGTGAAGCGCTTGTCGCGTCCTGCTGCTGCTTTCGCGCTGCCTGGTCGGACACAGTTCTCGCTGAACAAGATTCTCGCGCTTGCGAGGTACTACTTCCTTCAGAAATTGGTCGAGTATGACAACAATACCGACGCTGAGAAAATCGCTCTGGGTGGCTTGCCTTTGAGCAAGAGTATGCGAGACGAACTGGAAGCTGCGTGCTCGGCCATCTACGAGACATCTCTCAACGGAGGCATACCGGTAGCGCAATCACAGCATTGCGAAAAGCCGAGCAGTTCACTATCCCGCTCATTAGGAGCTCAGGAGGATTTCAGCATCACAGGACAGGATATCCAGGGACATCAGGCGCTCTGTACACTGAGAGCTGCGCAGGGCCAAGATCTTACTGTAAGTATCAGACCCAAGTCGATCTCTTGATGAAGAGTCACTAATTGAACACAGAAATATACTGCCGAGCCTCCAACGACACTAAACCAGCTCATCACCCTGAGAAGGACCGAAAAAAGGCTAGAAAAGGATGTTCGCGACCTTGACATGCAGTTGGCAGCTCTAGCAGCGGAGCGAGACGCCAAGGCAGCTGACGTTGATATGGTCAAGAGACAGCAAGAGGAACTGTTCTACGGGCTAGACATAATGGAAATCTACCGGCTTGGCGAGGAAGTTGGCCGTGCAGACGTGGAGAATCACCTCCAGCTTGCAGACACAGAGAATCAAGTCTAGCATAAGTGAAAGTGCCATGAGATTTATGAACGTCTAATGATGTGTCAAGTACGTTTGACAGCCCCATCGGATAGGGTTGGAATACTTGAATGGATGTTTAGTGTCGGTAGCTGGGCCATGTTCGAGCATTAGTTTTGATAATGACACAAATGCTATATAATCAACATCGCGAACAAGAAGTCACATGTCTGTACAGAGTGTACGTATCTCCAGCAATATACCTTATGAAAACAATCAGTATATTTTCAGATTAGATTGTATATTTTAATAGATTCCCACACATATCAGATAGACAGCTGGGGTAATGCAATATACGCTTAGAAGTAGCTTTGGAAACGAGTGGCTGATACCGGTAGCGGATTTGCCGTTTACCCGCAATGTCTCTGAAAAAATTCAGACGTATGTTCCCTTGACTACATCACTTCAGCGTCAAATCTCCAACAATAACACTTTGCAAATACATTTAAGCTGCTTTCTTATTAATAGTGGATGTGGTCACTGGAGGTGTCTGGTAGGCGATCCCCCACCGCCCACATAAAGATTTTACAAGCGCTTTTTATAGATAGACACTACAGTAAAAAATTGTTTACTATAGAATAGTACGCTAGGGGTTTACCTCGTTGTGACAATTAT